GCGTGGTCTGGTTTTCTTGGGTTTTTTTTTTTTTTTTTTTTTTAATGTGCCTCCCTCACTCCTGTCTTTTAACACAGTTAATATGAATGCAATAACATTCATTAGAGAAGTCATTCATTAGAGAAGGTAAGTAACGCTGATTTAACCACCTTAAAATATCTGTGTGCTTCTGTCAGTGTGAAAAGCCCAGTAAACGTACCTGCTTAGCCTGCGTTGGGAAGTATTGAGATGTTAACCTTCAGCTCTGTGGTGGGCTGCTCTTGGACTCTTTAGTGCTTACGGCTTTTCCCAACGCTGAGTTTATAGCCACTCTGAAAACTAGATCGTAGAGTTCCTGCTCTAGTTCTGAAACACACGAGCATGATCAGAGTCCTCTTTTTGATAGTCCTCTGTTGCCTTGAGTTCGTTACAAGATTGCAGATTATTTCTAGTTTAGCGGCACCCAATTCTGTCTCTGTGGCTTGAATGAATGCCAGAAAAAGAGCAGGGAGGCTCTCTGGATAGCCCCCCTTTGAGCTCCAAGGCGTGTCAGAGCTGAGGCTGAAGTTCCTAATTGTTTTCTTCATCATGTTCTGAATTTTTCCTTTAGAAAGGGGCTTTTTCACTCTGAAGTCATCTTGCCCATAAAAGTATGTAATAGAGAATCTAGCACTTCTGTAATTCTTTTGTATTAGCTGAAACATGGATTAATTGCCCTGCAGGATGAATTTTTCTTGAATTTTGAACATCTGTAGCAGTCTGCCATTGCAGCTGGTGAGAGCAGCTTTGTGATGGGCGGTGTGGTGGTGGTGAGAATTGGAGCTACTCTTGCTAATTACCTGCTTTTCGGTAGCAAGGACTTGTTTTCGATGAGCAGCTATTTTTAAATTACATTTAGTGCTCCCCATCACTTCGCGTTGTCAGATGAACACATGGGTTTTCGATGGAAACTTGGTATCTGTTTCATGTTGCAGTACTCTAAGTGGTATTGTGCAAAACCTTGAAAAGCTTGGAAGAATTGAACGAGTTAAGTTTTTTAGCAAAGTAAAATAAGTAATTTGTTAGGTAAGTAGAACTAGATAGCTCATAACTGAGCTGGTCAAATCTCGTTTTGCTTTTGGTAAATGCTGTTTCCCCATGGTTTCTCTCGTGTGGGTGACTTCACGCCATCAGCTGCTTGTCTGCCTCTGAACCTGGTAAACCAGAGGATGCCCAGTGCTCCAGGCTCTGTTCGGTGCAGTTACCTGTTACTCACAAATTTCACTAGCCCTGAAGCAGAGGGGGCAGTGACTGACAAGAGATACTGCTGTGTTTCCTCGACTGCTTTCCCTTGTGCATGTCTGTTAGTGACTTGGGGCTGTCGTTTCTTCGCCCTCCCCTTCTTCCCTATCCGAATGCCCTTTATAGTATAAAACCTCATTCCGTACCTTTGGAAGTCTGACTGATCGTGCAGCTTTTTGAGGCTGTTACAGTGACATCTGTAAGGAGAGAAAGAGGACTGGAAAAGACTGGTGGTAGATAGCATTGGATGTTCTCAGTGAAAGACCTCAATTAAATGGATGAAATGAACAGTTTTTCATCACACAGACCTTCAAAAGCAGGAGGTAGTCACGAAAAGCCATTTTTTCTGTTGGTGACTATTAAACCGCAAAGTAGCTACAAGGCAGATACTTAAAGCCCTGAAGAACAAGTGAAGGCCACTGCAGCGTGCCTACTGCTGTGTAAAGGCTGGTGGATAATCAAAAGCTTTGAAAGAGTGGTGTCAGAAGAGGTCAGTTGACTCTGTATTTGTTAACTTACATTTGTTCAAAACTCAACTTTCTGTGACAGGTAGTTGAAGATATTTAAAGATTCAAACTGCAACCTCGTGAGACTGTTTAGCAAATGTTCTGAAGGGGTAACTCCTGTTCTGTAAACTGAGAGGCGCCTTCAGACACTTTCTTAGCACTTTCAGTGACACGAGTGTGCTGTAGCTCTGTGCAGAGAGGTATGTTTAAAATAATGTTGTAAGTCATTCTTACAGCAATCACTGAAGTATGCTAATCCATTGACATTAATGTAAACAAGTTAATGAGTGTTTATCTCCTCTAGTGAGGAGGCTTTGAAGTTTTAAGCCTGGAAAACCTTCCTGGCAAAAGGCAGTTGTAGCTACCAGCTATTTACAAAGTTTTCAGTATGAGCCTACTGTGTGTAGGGTTTATTCACTAATGTTTCCAGCAGGTGACTCCAGGGGAAATGTGTTCTTGGGCATTCCATCTCCAAGTAGAAAGTATGTCTGGTAATTACTAATTAAATGAAAAATGTCTTCTGCTTTATTTTTAGATGCTCGCTGTAAGTAACGTTACTGTGCATCACCCACTTATCACCGCATCAGATCTTCATGAGGCAAGCAAGCAGTATAGAATGGACTCAAAAGCAAACATTGTACATGGTAAAGCTCAGCTGTTTCCCCCCAAACGTTTCTCAGGAGTATGGAATGTGTCAAGTCCCTCCCTGAAATTCTCCTGATGTAAGAGATACCGTATAGGGCAGTGCCCCTGTTGGCACGAGCCGCACAGGGAATACCTCCGCCCGTGGAGTCTGCTCTCTGCTAATTTGCGTTGGTACATGTGCGTGGATGTAACAGTGCCGAATAAACCAGAAACTGAGCTGCAGAGTAGTTGATACAAATCCTACTATGTGGGGAGCTCGGGCAGCGCACTGCTACGGTGCAGGCTTACAGCTGTCAGTACCAGCCAGCTCGTGTGGTGCTGCGGTGCTAGCCAGGGAAAGCACCGTCAGCCTGGGCAAAGGCCCCAGTCTGGGCAGCGTTTTGGTCCCAGGTAAATGGTGGAGGAAGGGAAGATGCCGACCTCTTCCTGCCAGTGCTGGGAGCTGGAGGATACCGAAGACGCTTTGGCTGGGAGCTGTTGCAATAAACCCTCTGAGAGTTGCAATAGTCTCTGCTTGGATACGTACAAAATTTGAGTGTGTACTTGAATTCTACAGCAGCGTGCGCTTACCTGCGTTTAACTGAGCTTCTGTTCATGCTGTACTGACTCCTCCAGCGTGTTTCGGTGTGCTGCTGCTGCCGCCTTTGCGTGGTCTGGGGGTTCTCCCTTTCTCAGCCTCGGCAGATGGAATGTGCTGAGCGCTGTGCTTAGGTTTTCTCTGATAAGCGTTTTGGAACCTGTGCAAACAGAAGAAATAAACTTTTCCTGGTGATGATACTAAACCCAAATATAGTTACAGGAGGAATTGCTTCCCCGATCAGGAAAAGCTAACTTGTCCCATTGCTTCTTTATGGCTTCCAGACTTTACAGGCTTTGGTTTGGCTTGGCCCTGTGATTCGCAAAGTCTCCTTGGTACCGTGGAGCTAATTCGCTGTGTCACTTTAGCTTTGAGTAGCGAATAACCTCTTCAAACTCATTCCATGACATGCTGTACGGTAGCACGGAGATTGTCTTGGTGCCACTAAAAATTCTTTGTCATGCCGTTCAATCTGCAATGGTGGTTTTTCTTTATACTTAGATTTCTTGCTTTTTGATGGAAGCAGCCCATTTCTTAACATTCTCGCTTCAAATATCTGGAAGAGAAATGTTCCCTTACCTAGTCTCTCCAATTCTGGAATTTTTTTACATTATGAAGATACGTAACAGAAATGTGTGAGGCCTACAGCATATACAAATAGAGGAATAAAAATGGTGTGTGAACGGCTTGCGTTTCTGATATGCTCAAGAGAAATATTGAGAGCTCTTGTCTTTCCCTCTAGGTTTGTCTGTCCTGGAAATCTGCCTAATTATAGCTATGAAACACTTAAATGACGTTTATGAAGGAGAACCATTTAACTTCCAGATGGTTTACAACGGTGAGAGAAACGCACGAACTTTACATACACTAAATCACTCGCTTTCCCCTAAGTGATTTTTTTTTTTCTTCCTCTTACTGATCCAGAATTCCAGAAGTTCATACAGAGGAAGGCGCATTGTATGTACAACTTCGAAAAGCCAGTTGTCATGAAGGTAAGCCTGAAATGTAATTCTGTCTTTTTTATGATAAAGTATTTAGATGTTGGTTGGGTTTTTTTTTCCTCCCCTAGTGCACAGATCCGAGTGGTCACGTGCAGCCCTCAAACGGAGACCGGGTGCTTCAGGGCGGTGAGAACCCCCTGCTCTTGGTGCAGGCACCCAGGGCGGTGGGTTTGGGCACTGCCCGGCCGCCGGCACTGCCGCTCGCCTCCCACACCCCCCGCCTTTCCCGGGGCGGGGAGCTCAAGGCTGTGCCGAGCTGGTGAATAGTTACGCTTGGAAGAGTTCAGTACCAGGGTAAGGACTCTCTTTCAAGTGAGCTCAACTGATTTAGGACTGGGGTTCAGCAAGAATGACTGCATCAGAAACGGCTTCCAGAGGAGAGATTTGTGTACCTGTGTAGGTACCTTCAGCCTGCTCGTTCACTTCCGTCGTTTAGAAGTGATGTCTCCAAAATTTAAATTAATCTTACCACATCAAAAACCTGTTTTACTTAATCCAAGTCCCCGTAGGTCTGACTGGTATATGGAATCCATTTGTAGCCTCCTATGGCTGGTTTGGCCTCAACCGACTACAACCCGAAGTGCAAATTGAAAAACAGTTATTTTGGCTACGGACCTGGTGCTCGTTGGCCTTCTGGGCTATCGGGCTGTCGCTCGGCTAACGTGATGCTGCCAGGCTCTGTTCGGGGATCTGGTCGTAGGGCATAACCCTGCCGTGGCGTAGCAGTCAAACAGGGGTCATGCAGCTGCCGAGTTTTCAGTGAATGAACTTGACCCAACGACCAGCGGCTCGGTAGCCAACCGTCTTCCAGCCTTGCAGCTTTTAAGCTGAGCAGCCCTGGTTTCTGATTCGACATTATTCAATTACACTTAAACTGGAAGTTACGTAATGCCGCCTGTGCACTTGTAAGAAGCTGTTCCAGTTTGTATCCCAGAGTAACAGTCGTTCCCCGTCGGCTACACGTACACCAGATTTCAAACACTGTTTCTTGAAGAAGAAAAGCGAAGGTAAAAGGGAGCTGGCATTTCACGTCTGCCTGTGAGATCGCACATCACAGCTTCTGTCAAAGCAGCGTCTCCTAGGTCATTCAAAATGAGCAGTACAGCCCAGAGCGAGGGCATCTTCCGTTTCCTCATTTTTTTTTTTTTTCCTACTGTTTTTAGGCATTTGAGCACCTCGTACAACTGGAATTAGTAAAACCAATAGAAAGACCATCTGTCCGCGCTCAGAGAGAGTACCTCCTTATGAAACTGCTTTTGGACAATAATCAAATCATGGATGCTTTGCAAGCGTACCCAAACTGCCCGACAGACGTTAAACAGTGGGCAGCGTCATCGCTCAGTTGGCTGTGAACTTTCTGGAACTGGCAGTATCACTTTCTGCATTAAAACTTTTGGAGTTAACTGTAAGCTCCAGAAGATGTAATGTTTACCCACAGCAGGGTGTTCAACTTAATAAATTTTTGGAAGACGCTTGCTTTGCTGTGCTTTGCTGATCGATTTGGGATGTTGTTTTCTAAGGAGAACTATTCTGCTGTTACCTTCTCACGGCCATAAATTTGACTAACTAACTTTAAAGGCTCAGGCAGTTTAGCTCAGCTCAGTGCTGGCGTTTCCACTTTGTGGAAATCAAAGCTCTTTGGAATTTCTCAGTCTCGGATTAAGACTGCTTTCGACACCAGCTCGGTGGCATGCTGCCACGAACGGCTGTGGGTCTGACGCTCTAAGTTCTGAAGCACAGACCCATCTCTAATGCAGTGTAAAGCTCATGCTTACTGTACTTTTTCTTCTCAAATTTGACTTGACATGGAAAACTTACTTAATTAAACCTTTAATCACAGCTAGCTTCAGCTGGTAAGCGGTATTTTTGTGCGAAGTACAGCCCACCTTCTGTCCAGGTTATTCGGCCATCTTCTCCGCAGGAAAGAGCGATGCTTGAAGTGCGACGTCGCCCTGCCCCGGCAGGCTGCAGGGCCCTCCTCTCCCTGCAGAGCGGCAGCCGGGAAGCTCTGCCCGAGCTGTCTCAGCGCTGCAGTGGGCTCGGTGGGGCAAGCAACTGGTTTTACAGCTGGTCTGGTGAAAGGTATGTGTGAAGGGTGGGCAACGTAGATCTACTTCCAAGATAGGACATCATCAGACGCGTGCTCCTTTCCAGGTAAGAGTTCCCTTTGGTTTAGTACCAGGCCGTTAAGGAAATGCTGTGTAAAGGCTGGTCGCTGCTTTTCTCTCACCAGTTTGACCCCGCTCGTGGCTGTGAGTGGTGAGGGACAGGCTGCACTTTAACCCTCCTGTTACGGTGCAGCAGGGCTGATGGCTTCCTCTTTCCTGAATAGAGTAAGTCAGCTCGCTCTTAGCTTAAAGCCGATGGGATGTAATATGCGTTTTTAGCAGCCCAGTGGCTTGTCTGTCAAAAAGGTGAGAAATTTCAGTGATGTTTGTTCGTCCTTGGGAGCCCTTTAGCTCTGCTTTCACACAGGAGCCCTTCTTTTCGGTCAAAGCGTTATTTTCTTTATTTTTGCTCTTTTTGCTGCTTCATAAAGGTACTGTCTATGCAACTGCACATCCTGAAGAGAAGAGCAGTGCTTTGAAAAGCAGCAAAATAGGTAACGGGAGAGTCGGCAGCAGAAGGAAGGATAAGGAGTGCAGGGACCGGTGTTAACGGTGGTGTATCTCGCAGGAAGGGTTGATCAGGCCAGTTGCAGCAGCCGCTCCCCTCTTCCCCTGCCTTCGCTCATGCTCCTGGTGCTGTCGTTCGCTTCACTAACTGGAGGAGCTCGGCACAGGACGTGGACAGGGAGAGCGGTGACAGAGAAGGGTGCCTGTCCCGGCACTGTGGAAAAGAGATGCTCACCGTGCAGGCTGCGGTACCGGAGCATTGCGCAGTTGAACGCGTGGTGGTGTGTAAATGTTACCACCAAACCTGCCGTGCCACAGCCACAGGCCGTTTTGAAGTTCAACGTCCGCGTTCAGAACTCCTTGCCGTAAGTAACAGTCTCCACGGCACGTAGCTAATATACGCTGGAAATAAGATAAATCTCCAGTTTTACAGGAGCCTTACAGCTCTGGCTGCAGCACTGTACCGCTTCTATGAAAAGAAACTGCAGTAGCAATGATGCAGGCTGGAAAAAAAGCCCCACTTTTAACAGAACAGCGGTTACATCACATCCACAGACTTGCGAAGGGCTGGCTGATGAAACGTAACGTTTTTAGGAGGGAGAGAGGTAAAGCACAAAAGCCCAGTAATCCCCCTCGAAGCAGGAGGCTGCGCGTGGCACCCCCGCACTTGTGCTCAGCCACCAATCCCACAGAACAGGGCTCCTCCTCCTTGCACCGGCGGCCATGGCCTTTCTTCCACGGCAAAGGACCAGGCAGCCGGCCCGGTGACTCGGTTGTCAGCTGCCCTCTGGAACGGGAATACTGGTTGCAGCGTGCGGAACCACCGAAACATCACTCCGGCCTTTCTCTGCCCTGGGCTGAACCCCTGTCCTCCCAGCAGTCTTCATCACCGCGGCAGGGAGTCTGCCTCAGTGCCCGCCTGCTGGTTAAAGACTACGGGGCCCGTGCAGTATCCCTTCGTGACAGGGAAGGATGGGCTGCCTCGGTGCCCGCCTGCTAGTTAAAGACTACGGGGCCCGTGCGGTATCCCTTTGTGACAGGGAAGGACGGGGAGAGGAGGGTTTCCCATCAGAAATGCTGGGGATGATGCGGATTCGGCCTTTGCTTCCCCGCCAGATGTAAACTGCACCGTCTTTCCATTCTGGGTTTTTTTTTTTTTTTTTTGCCACAAAACTTGCCCTGCAGCTTGCGAATTGCTGCATCGGTGGAAGCAGCGACAGGTCTCTTCCCCCACCGTGTTACAGTTTGAAAAAAGGCATATGCAAGTCAGAGTAGTCACATTTTTTATTTTAACTTTTTTGGGGGAATAGGGGAGAAAGAGTATACATTTTTATTTGTACAATATTTAACAATCACTTTATTGAGGGCGAGGGGGGGTTGGTTTGTTTTTAGTACTTGCAGAAAAACAGCAAGTACCTTTTGACAGTAGTACAACAACCTGTGCCCAAAACACTGACAAATACGAAGAGTAAAGTTAAAATAATTGCTTACCAAAATCTTGAGAGGTAACGAATAGTATATGGACTGAAACGGCGTTAAAAAAAATAAAATAAAAGGAAAAAAAAAAAGGTACTGCTGGTTGAGTATCTGAGGTAAATGATGTTCCATCAAGGATGCTACTTGAATCGTTTTGCCCGTGAACATATATCGCAGCTTTCTGCATTTTGTACCAAGTGTTCCTAATAAAAGTAAATAGGTTAAAAAGGAGAAGCTGGACAAAGCAAACTGGTAACCCTACTTACTCTGTCGGATGCTAACGCGAACGGGAAATGTCTTATTACCGTCTGGTTGTACCGCAAGGCGGTGTTTGAAAAGCACACCGACTTCTTAAAATCTGGGAGAGAAGGTTTGAGGTGGCGGATCTCGGCCCTCGCGGTGCAGTTTCAGACCACCACCACCAGTGACAGCGCTAGTTCAACAACTCCAACAACTGCGAGGCACGGTCTCTGCTCTGAAACCCTACGGTACCTGTAGTCCTAAGTACAGAGTCCCGCAGGACACGATGCAGAAGCTCCCTACCCTCTAAAAGTAACACGGGGCTTAAACTTCTGGCAAGGCCAGGAAGGAGCTCCTTTACCAGTCCTGCGGCAGATCCGCGGTCGCCCTTTCAGCAGACTTCACTGAAAGTTAAGAGCAAGGGACCAGCTGTTCCTCACGAGCCACAGGACAGGGTGACCCTTCGGAGCTCACCCGCCACGTCACTACAGGGCGTAAAGGGACAACAGTCACTGCCTGCTAGTAAACAATGCCAAAATACTTCCACTGGTGTCGATCGTGCTGAATCCTGCCCTCATTTACACTTGCAAAGCGCTGCTGGCTGGGGCACCTTCCCAACTCGCGCACTGAAGTAACACAAAAATACACATCAGAACGCCCTGCGAGAGCAGCTGTACCAGAACAGCTCTGGGGATGTTACTGTTGCCAATTAAAAAACATTTATACCACGAACATCCTTTTCACAGTGACACTAAATTATGCCGTTAACAATCGGGAAACTCGCAGTAGTACAATATTTAAACAACGGGGGATGGCCAGAGGCAGTTTTAAAACGCGGAGGTAAGTTCTCTCAGTTTTCCTGCTGTGAGGTTAGCGAGGGCCCTGCGCTGTTTGCAGCGTGAAGTGCACGAGCGACACCCGAGTGCCCACCGCTCTGCTGCAAGAACCCGCGGTAGCTGAAGTGTAAAGGATAATACACAGATGATGCACATTTTATACGTGACCAATTTTTGCATCAGATCTCGAGTAACAAATACAGATGGTTTCATAATCTAACTCCAATTTTGCTAGTAAAGGGGTTAAAACTCATGGGGAGCACAGAGGTCTTCAGTGAAGTACGAACGGATTCTTGTTTGTTCAGAACTCAGCAGCTACGTTCGCATCCTGCTGCGTGCGTAAAGTCACATCCCTGGCTTAAAAAATGGAAGCAAAACGAAAGTGTCAATCGAAGAAGCAGCCGCAGCCTAGGTTTCTTTCTTCTTCTAGCCAAGCTGAACACCACCGCGTTGCGCCCTACAGCACCATGACCCTTTAGAGCAGGGCTCTTCAGCTACCTGAAACCTCGGGCACACACGTGACGAACAGCAAGACAGCCAGCACGGGGTGGTAGATGGAGACCTTTCCTCCCCTCCCTGCCAAGGTCTTGTTTAGCCGTAACGTCTCTTACTATTCCCAGAGACTGAGTTCACGCACATGTAAAACAGAGTATCCTGTGGCCGTACAGATCAATTTTCAAGGTAACATTCACAGTGAGCTCCTAACTGCAACATTAAAAGCTTCTTTCGAAAGACATTGAACGCGTGGTGTAAAACCAAAGAAAACAATGATGAAATACACAGCGTACTACCAGCTATCGTCGGTTCTGTCCTCTGGAGGTTTGAAAGATTTATTTTACTTGGAAGTTTGTGTGAAGGATCAAATAAACGTAGCGAAACGGTACTTCTCAGAAGCACTTTGGCACCTACCTACCAGCCACTCCGTAATTTGAATATAAGGCATGACTTCCTAAACTCAAAAAGAAGGTTGGAGTTGTGAAAGCAGTTTCAATGGTTTTCCTCATTTTCTGCGAGTCTGTGCTACGGCCGTCGGTATTCGTTACCTCCAAACTGTCATTGCGTATTTTAAGTTGCAAGCGTCACTAAATCATCCCTGAAATTTGTAAGCATGTATAATCTGAAATCTGTGGCTAGAATTTTTCGTATGATTCTAGGAGAAACCTACGTATCGCAGACATTAAGCAGTACTCTGGCAAGATGGCACCAAGCTTTACGTGGAGTGCAGTTGCAGATCTCAAAGCAGAGAGGAAGGAATTCGGGGTAGCTGAGCTTCCTGAGGTGATCCTGAAACAGCGATACAGAACCCACTGCATACTGTTTAGTGAAACAGAACACACGCTAGGCAGACCTTTCCACAAACATAAATAGGAAAAAGACTTTTTTAAAAAAAGAACAAGGATTCAGAGCTTTCCAGTGTCATAGCTCACAGAAAATTAAAAAAAAAAGTCATGCTTAAGTTTTCAAATATTCCTCAGACACAGCAAACCTAAATAGTGTTCAGTTAAATAAATGTACGAGATATTCCGGGAAATGGAGGTAAGAGAAAAGCTTTAAACTGAAAGAGGAAGGAAAATTTTGTTTCAATAAACAGCACTGGTTTGTTTGTTTTTTTTTTTTATACACAACAAGCTAGTACAAGAAAAGGCTAAAAACACTGCTTTAGGAATGGCCATTTACTGTTGGCATGAAGCATAGCTTACCCTTTTTAAATAACACAGTGAATTTGAAATACATCATTTACAAAACATGGATCAATTTATTATTCAAATTTGTTAGTGTTGTCAATCTCATAATTTAGCAGAGGTGGAACTGAGGTATACCTTGTTGAGGGAGGTTAAGTAATACTTGGAAGCCTCGTTGCTATATCCCACTTGATTACTTTTGTTTATGTACACTGAACAGCAGCACACTAAACATTCACAAGCTGTGTCATATTGGCATTACAATAGTCATTTTTATAAACAACAGCAAATGCAATAAAAACAAGTTACCCTTTTTTTAAATCTGAAATGAAATGTTTGATTTAAAAAAAATAACAGTAGTTCATTTAAGGAATTAGTCTCTTCTGACAGGTATTAAGAAATCTGATGTCAGTTTTTAAAACGCTTGATTAGCCGGTACGGGTCCGTATTCTTCATTTAAGTTCCTCAACAGCATGTTACCGCTTCTCAGTCACGTGTCCTTCGGGTGTAAGCAGGGAATGCAAAAAGTCTCATGGATCCATGTCTGGGAGGAGGAAGGGGAAAATAAAGGAGAAACACCTCTTGGTGATGTTCCAGAGAGACTTACCATTCTTTTCACACAGAAAACAGTAATGACGTAAGCAGTCCCGTTAGCTTTAGCAGCTCCAGTGAAGAGTCCCGGCGGTCAGTGACACGACCAGTGCAACTATCATAGACTGGATTCTTTGGGAGGAAAGTCAACATTTGTCACCATTGTGACCACAGTCACAATGTCCTCTGTTGTTATAATGTTAGTTAATTTTTGCATCTGAATAATCCGTTCTTCTACGCAACCCGCTGACAACCTGGCTTCCGCATCGTGATCCCAGCACTCCTCTATGGTTTCACAAAGCATCGCCATTCCCTGCGAGCAAACAAAGCGAAGTAAAAAAAAAAAAAGACGATATACAGAGTTAGCAGCAAGTTTTATGAAGGTGGGGCCGCCTAGCAATCCTAACAGAAAATTGCATTTCAAGGTACACCTGCCAAATCTTAACCCTTCTGTCAAAGGGGAAGCTATGCCCTATTTGTTTTGAAGCCTAGCACGTCGTATGGGGCCTTGCGCCTTATTTATTTTGCGCTATTTAAACAATATACACAACAGCGAGCAAATCCTTTTCACCGTACGATGTTGTAGTCTGCTGGTAAAGTCATCGCGGTATTTTAAAAGATCTCACACTGAAAGAGGTTAAGTTCCTCAGTGATCAAACGAAACCTCAGTGAAGAACATTAAACAGCACAAAAGGGGATTTATATCTGACAGCAGTTAACTTTTCTCCAAAGTAACACTGAGCTAATACAGCAATACGCTAATTACAAGGAGCAGATGGTAACACACTCTTTTTTCTTGCGGACAGACAGCGTCATCTATTGTTTCTAACAACCCATTTTTTGAAAAATAAAAAAAACCACCCAAAACAAAAAAACCCCACCCAAACCCAGGGCTTGGAATAAGCAGTGGCCTTACGGCCAGTCTCTAGCTGTAAACCCGATCAGGAAAGCATGCAACTCCTCCCTAACTGATCCCAGAAATTTCTCCTACGACACTGCTTACCCTGTGTTATTACGTTCAGTTTGTAGCATTCCTGTCGTAAATCAAGAGTCTTATTTCTTAAGTATATTTTTAACATATGCATTCAAAAGTAACTCTCAAGAATCTCTTTCACCGAAAAAGTGAAAGAATCACTCATTTTCAAATCACTCAAGATGAGAGAGAATATTTTAAGAACATACTAGTTTACAGCCCATTTAATTCTTTCTAGAATTATTAAACTTAAATTATTCCTAAAAGACAGTACTATGAACACAACTCAGGATTAACAAAATTTGGATCAAATCTCGTGACAGAGCTCTGAAGAACCCGGTTGCGTAACTACTTACAGAATGTTTTTGCCAACACTCTCTTAAAACGGGTCTCTTCTTTTTATGAACTACGACTTCCTGCATGTCTTCAAGGGAGGGATGCTGGCCAATTTCTTCTTCAAATGGCAACATGTACTCATCTACTGGGCCTATGATAAAAAAAAGGGGAAGTTAAACCACCAATTTTGCTTTAAAAACAGGGGGGGGGATAAGACTGGTATCTTAGACATGTAGTCCATAATCAGAATCTTACGGAGCAGTTTACTTTCTGTTGCCATTAAAAGCTCACCCTACGACAGGTTAGCAGCAAGAGGTGACTAAGGTTTTAATTAAGCGGCAGTGGCGTTTTCAGGAGCCACAAGGCTTTGCTCTCCTGCGCGCGGCAGCCAAGCCCAGCTCCCGGCCCAGCTCCCTTGCAGCTGAAGGCTTCGAAACACAAGGGCGGAGGGAGGCCCCCGGATCCACAGCTTCTCCCCTGCCTCCCCCAACAATCATAGCTTCGGTAAGATAAATCGTCATCCTTCTTTCAAGTTTGCTGGCTCTCTTGGTATCCGATTACCAAGCAGGCGCCTGATAGCCACTTGTGAATGTTTTCAATACCACATACGTTGCAAAAATACAAGCTTGCGACAGCAACTGCTGCATCCCTCTGTGAATGTAACGCGTTTCCTCCTCCGACCCATACAGCCCAGGACAAAAGTAGTCATGTTGAAGGCAAGGCGTAATATTTGTCCTTAGCAGAATCAGAGGGACAAGCTTGGTATGCTGAATTATAATTATACAATCTATAGCTATGTAATCTATAGTTATCGTAATACGTATTTTGTGCTCTCGCATCAGAAGCCTGAAAAAAGGAGGAAGGGGACCACGGAAGAAGTGAACAGTACGGTACAGGTGAGGCTGATGAAACTCGGTGAAACAGACCAGGTACCTTCTGGAGAAAAACACCAAACAAAACCAACCATGTATTTGCAGAAAGAAAAAGGGCAGCCACGACCGTAGAGCTACACAAAGCTGTGATTCAGGAAGGCTGCTTTCCTTCACTGATGCCTCCTTTACCTTCTGGAATAATAACCACACCGGCCAGAGAGACCTGCGACACACTTCTAGTAAGATTTAGGTACGTATGCTTTACAGTACACTGAGGCATGAAAAATCAATACGGAATGGGGGACTGCCTCGGAGACTTGTGCAAGACACTGTCGATCCTGTTAGTAAACAGCTTAACATTTCTAAAAGGGTAAAATCTCCCCAGTGGCTTCTACTCCGCGAGGAACGTTTGAAGCAGAAAAGCACTGCTCGGAGCAGAAGAGCACTGTGCGGCCACGCGCTGATCTGCTGAGACCTCCAATTCACCTCGGCTTTTTATATGGGAATCTGTCAGCTGCACCGGGCTCTCACAGGAGAGCTTTGGGCATCACAAGCCCAAGTGAAGCCGTCATGTTTACTTAGTTGAATTTAGCTGCTTTAAGGACTAGACTGAAAATGCAACTTTCTCCCAAACATTTTTGAGCCTTGTCTTTTGTCTTGTTCTTGATTAATCCTGAGTTATTCTGGACACCCAAAAAAGATCTCTGTTTACAACATTTAAGAATAGTATTCGTACTTGAAACAGGGTATCTGATATCTTTGCTTGATAGCTCAAAAATTGGATCCAATGGTTTGCTCTGAGGAAAACAACTGTGATGGACCCATAGCTAAGAAAGTATCAGCTGCAGATTTCTCAGACAACACTATTTTCAAACTCTAAGCTATCAACAATCAATTAGAAATTCCTCAGAAGTTCTGACATCTGCATGAGCTGAACTAATGTCACATTAGTGACAACAAAGAGAAAGAGAGGTAAGGGAAGCACTGAACTTACATGGCACAGTCTCACTCTGGCACCTGTGGCTAAACCAGAAACAAGAGACTTTTCTATGCCTCATTGCAGACAACCGACTTCCTGATGCACTGAAGAGCGGTTCACCGTGATTCAGGAAGGGCCAAGGTGGTATCCTGCATATGCTTATAAGCAGCTAGAAAGTTATTGACTGCATCAAGGCTCTTCGTAATAAAATGTATGTTGACCTATGAAAATTCTTCGTGTCTTTTAGCCTTATATTCCCTTACTATATTGGGAACAGATCTCTGACATTAATAAGCGTCTACGCACACCTTCCACAGGCAGCGCTAAAAGGCAGGTCATTGTCCAGATGCTAAGGCGTACAGCAGGAGACATCGATTTCTCAGCGGGTGCTGGTGGGATATCTTTGTTACCAAGGTTAATCTAATCTGAGCTTTTGTTTATGAGAAGCAGCAATGCCTTTAAGGTAAATTGATTGGCACTGAAACTGTCAGGCTGAGCTCAGAAGAAATCAAACATATTAGGTTAGGAGTTCCACAGTAATTCTCCTCTTCCTTGCCATGACCAGGAGGAGAAATGCAACAGGTATCCACGTATCAGAAAACTTTTACCTGGGATGCCAAATACTGACAAGACTGAATTATAAAAGTGACTACATGATGTTGATGCTTCATTCATTTCCCCACAAGACTACCACCCTTATTAAATTTTACTACATACATATAATCTACCTTCTAATTTCCTGCTTTAAATACACCTCTCACAAATTACATTAAGTATTTCCATAGATCAAATACGTTGCTTACCATCTGAGGCAGTACAGCGTGATGCCAATTCCCAGAGGACTAATCCCATGGCATACATATCTATTCTCAAAAACGCATCCCTTTGGAAGTTTATAGCACCTTCTAGTACCTCAGGAGCCATATACCTTCGTGTACCAACCTTGAAAGACAGGAAAGCATAAAAATGTGTACACTAAGAATCAACATGACCACAAAGACCACTCTAGCTGGTGCCGATTATAGTAATACTGCAGACCAGTACTATTTTTTGTCAAAGATTAAATGGTTATCCTTGCTTAGGACGAAGTCTTGGAAGTTTCTTGTACTCTTATATCCAGGAGTAGGTAAGAGGAATTAGAAACAGTCGTATAGACTGGGCCCTATAAAGGATACTTACGAAGCAGGAAAACCTGAATATATTTTAAAATAACACATTTGCATAGCAATTCAACATATCTGTCACTGCCATCCCTTATTTTCTTCTAGATTACAGGAAGGCCACTATTCTTATTTTTTCATGTCAAAAGAATTATTATGGCTTCACGTAAGGATGTGAAACTTGCTTATGTTTCTTCCTGTAACAGGAGCAGTAATAAAAATACCAAAGGAAAACTAGCTACCCAAAGTACAATTTATACTGAGAAAGTTATATGAAATCACTTATACAAAACTGGCCATTAAATGAAAACTTCGGGGATAGCCCTTCTTTTTGACCACAGTCAATTATGAAATTATGTCATCTGAATAAATCAGAACTTAATACGATGTCTGAACAAGACCTACTCCACTATTTAAACCGTCACAGTAGTAGCTATGTTGCTCTTAAGCAATGTTACTGAGGTTTTATCATCTTATGGTAAGGATTTTAGTTTTGTTGCTCGACCATAAACTGTGAAGCTCTGCCTAACATTAAATATATTTAGTTTTCCAGAAACTGTAATGCTTAAGCTCAAGCTTGTTATTTTAAAAGTACATGGTACTAAAACAGTTCCCTGATGTATGACAAGCGCTTGATTAGTACTGTTGTCATTTCAGGAAAGTGACTGTTGCTAGGTCGGAAAGTTAGAAATACCAGCTGCCAGTATCATCCCTCAATTTCTGAACAGTACCTCAGAACAATTAATAAAATATAGCAAGACCATTCTTTCTTGTCCAAACCCTCTAGTAAGAATGAAAATAAGTGGGGAGAGAGGCCACGTAATGAGATGGGGGGAAGGCTGTGATCTGTAATTATCTAAAGAATTAATTTTTAGCCTGTGAGAAGAAAGCACAAAATGCCATCTTCATTAAAGGTCACCGCAAATAGGGTTGATGATATAGTATCCTGTGCGTGAAGAATGCCTAAACTGTCAATTTCCATTCACATGCAGTTAACACTTGTATAATTTATGTAAATGAATCGGTATTTACCTGTCCATGTGTATCCCCTGCAGACTTTCCAGCCTCAAACTTTAAAGCTAGACCGAAATCAGCAATACAAGCTGTAAGATTATTTTTCAGCAGCACATTCTTGCTTTTGATGTCCCTTTCAAGGTAAGGAAAAAAAAAGTTAGAAATCTAGAACATGAAATACCATATAAAGTTCTAAGGAAAAAGTAACATAATAATACAAAGAGCATTATAATATGAAAGGCAAGAAAATTATAAAGAAGCAGTCCATTTAAACAACAAAAGAATAATAATAAAACCTAGGAGTACACTTGCACACCTATATTCTTGTGGAAATATATGAGACTGCAACTGGAACTATCATTTTATGCTTAGTTTTAAAATACATATAGATTTATAAGCATGTATGATACAGAAATAGAACAAAAATGTAGTTACTGCATACTTTAATTACAACCACATTTTGTTTGTTTAAGTAATAGGAAGCAAAACACTTTGAAAAATGAACCTCGACTGTTTCTAACGAGGAGATACATAATTCCCTGCAGAAACGAGAGATAATGGACTCGATCCAGGGATTCCCATCTGTCCTGTGCGCGCCTCTCCCCCTCCCCTATTTTACCCTCCGTCAAGCAGTTTTGCTTATGGAATTCCAAAGTGCAGAATCTGTACTTCTCTTACTCTATATGCCTATCTTTTATTTTGGTTATCACTATCATTTCAGCTCCCTACTTCTATCAATAGCTTTTCTATACCTACCTCATTTAAAAAAAAACAGCAATTACACTCAACAACAGGCATAACACCACCTATAGTAAACGTTTCTGTCTGAAGGCATTCAGTATTAAAGTTATATACATAAGTGTTTAAGCCATTTCAAATAGCTATAATGCCAATTATTTCATATACTGCAAAGCATACTTAAATAATTAACTGTCTAAAAACAGAATTTAAGACGACATTAACCACAATCACCACACCAAGTTCTATAAACCATCAGCTAGATTTTTGCTTCGGCTAAGCAGATTTTTCTTATGAAGCTCTTGATAATTCTGGAAGGAAGATATCACAGAGTAATTATTTGAATACTTCCTACCTACCCACATTTCATATCCTTTAACTCAAAGTTAAATATTAACAATCACCTGAAAGTATTTTACATATACTATACCTATGTGAGATGGCAGGTTTATGTCCATCTTTTAGCCCTGGTATATCCTCGTGAAGATAAGCCAAGCCTCTAGCCATAGTTTGGGCGATATGACATAGCTCATTCCAAGAGACCACATTAGCCTTGAGAAAGTCTGTTAATGAACCCTGCAGAGCAAAAAAGAAAAACAATTACAAGATCAATTTCATTCTCAGCTGCTCTTAAAGAAAACTTCTAGATGGCCTCCATCATTAAAGAACACGATATGCCTGCTTGCCTTTCTCTGTTTTCTGATAGACCATATAATTATACACATACATACGCAATGAACTGCTAGTTTAGACAACAAAAAATTAACCTTTGCATCATCTCTAGTCCATGAATAGAACCAAGATGCATCTACACACCACCTCAACAAGCAAGCAGCGCAATGAACTCAAGTTCAGTGGCACACTTGCCAATGAACTGCGCTTAACTGTCACTGTCAGAAACGGGAGCTAGACTTAAGATACTGAAGTTCTTTATAAAAAGACAACCCTGATTTTAGAAGGGTGATTTATAATCTTCCAGGCACAGGAAATTGCAGGTTAGATTCACCTTCAAGGATCCTGCTGAACTGTGTATGTCCATTCTCTTAAGACCTTCAATTGATTGTCTAAGTCTTTCTTTTCTTACAGACCAGCAACAGTAAACTCCAGTTTCACAATATAGTTTCAGAGTGAAATACGTACTCTGAATAAATATAAAAAGATAAGTAAAAATCTAGTCAACATAAAGCACCTCTCTTCAAACTCACTTCTACAGCCCACTCTATACACACATATTCATGGACTTGCATATTATCCAGTTTGTGAGATGTCACCGTGTGCTGTGTGAAAAGCCAACACAAAAGGGAAAAATGAACAAAGCGCTGTCAAAGTGTAGAGGCTACACTTTAAAAATAAAAAGCTCGTATTTTCCATTGGAGTCATGTCAGATGCCGATACATAATTCCCTGCAGAAACGAGAGATAATGGACTCGATCCAGGGATTCCCATCTGTCCTGTGCGCGCCTCTCCCCCTCCCCTATTTTACCCTCCGTCAAGCAGTTTTGCTTATGGAATTCCAAAGTGCAGAATCTGTACTTCTCTTACTCTATATGCCTATCTTTTATTTTGGTTATCACTATCATTTCAGCTCCCTACTTCTATCAATAGCTTTTCTATACCTACCTCATTTAAAAAAAAACAGCAATTACACTCAACAACAGGCATAACACCACCTATAGTAAACGTTTCTGTCTGAAGGCATTCAGTATTAAAGTTATATACATAAGTGTTTAAGCCGTTTCAAATAGCTATAATGCCAATTATTTCATATACTGCAAAGCATACTTAAATAATTAACTGTCTAAAAACAGAATTTAAGACGACATTAACCACAATCACCACACCAAGTTCTATAAACCATCAGCTAGATTTTTGCTTCGGCTAAGCAGATTTTTCTTATGAAGCTCTTGATAATTCTGGAAGGAAGATATCACAGAGTAATTATTTGAATACTTCCTACCTACCCACATTTCATATCCTTTAACTCAAAGTTAAATATTAACAATCACCTGAAAGTATTTTACATATACTATACCTATGTGAGATGGCAGGTTTATGTCCATCTTTTAGCCCTGGTATATCCTCGTGAAGATAAGCCAAGCCTCTAGCCATAGTTTGGGCGATATGACATAGCTCATTCCAAGAGACCACATTAGCCTTGAGAAAGTCTGTTAATGAACCCTGCAGAGCAAAAAAGAAAAACAATTACAAGATCAATTTCATTCTCAGCTGCTCTTAAAGAAAACTTCTAGATGGCCTCCATCATTAAAGAACACGATATGCCTGCTTGCCTTTCTCTGTTTTCTGATAGACCATATAATTATACACATACATACGCAATGAACTGCTAGTTTAGACAACAAAAAATTAACCTTTGCATCATCTCTAGTCCATGAATAGAACCAAGATGCATCTACACACCACCTCAACAAGCAAGCAGCGCAATGAACTCAAGTTCAGTGGCACACTTGCCAATGAACTGCGCTTAACTGTCACTGTCAGAAACGGGAGCTAGACTTAAGATACTGAAGTTCTTTATAAAAAGACAACCCTGATTTTAGAAGGGTGATTTATAATCTTCCAGGCACAGGAAATTGCAGGTTAGATTCACCTTCAAGGATCCTGCTGAACTGTGTATGTCCATTCTCTTAAGACCTTCAATTGATTGTCTAAGTCTTTCTTTTCTTACAGACCAGCAACAGTAAACTCCAGTTTCACAATATAGTTTCAGAGTGAAATACGTACTCTGAATAAATATAAAAAGATTAAGTAAAAATCTAGTCAACATAAAGCACCTCTCTTCAAACTCACTTCTACAGCCCACTCTATACACACATATTCATGGACTTGCATATTATCCAGTTTGTGAGATGTCACCGTGTGCTGTGTGAAAAGCCAACACAAAAGGGAAAAATGAACAAAGCGCTGTCAAAGTGTAGAGGCTACACTTTAAAAATAAAATAAAAAGCTCGTATTTTCCATTGGAGTCATGTCAGATGCCGTCCTTCCAACAGTAACAAGATTTCTAAAACTCAGACAAAAAAACAAACAAAAAATGGCAATAACCTTGCAGAAAGAACTAAAAAATTAGTTTGATATTACCTACTTTATCGGAAGATCTGTCAAAAATTAAGTAGTTGGATAGTTTTAGTCTTCTAAATGATTAAAGCAGAGGCATAAGTGGGACAAAAATGCCAGAATGAAGAATGTAACATTCAGTACTAGAAATATGATCTATGACCTAGCCTTAATGCATTAGCATACACATATTATACAGATTTATATTTTCTCAGATCTGCTACAGGTAACATCTTCCTAATGCCTCTTTGCCTGTGCCAGTGCTAAATTTAAGTTTAAAGCTTTTTTTTGCTCTTTGTACTTACATCTGTGACAGTTACACGCATCAAAACAAAAAATTAAATATATCTAAGTGGACAAAATAGAACAGCGAACATTTTCTTTCTGACATATTTATGTTTCTTCTTGTGGTTATCACAATACAATTGATAAATATTACTTCATTCCTATAGACACAAATCAGCTAACACAAGTGAGACAAAAATAAAACACCGCATTCTTTGCAGGATGGATTTTATTTAATTTAGACAGATTTAGATGGGGGATATTAAAAAACCCACACATTCTAAAAAGCAAACAAGTAGAATAAATTTTTGTTTGTTTTCTAAAACAACTCCTCTATTAAGTAAAGACTGATGACAACTTTCTCAGCTGACTGAAAATAAATTTAAATAAATTCATAGCCAATGAAAAGAGACAAGCTAAGAGTAAGCGAAAACTATTTTCAATTTTATTTCTTAACTGTCTCAAGTTCACATTTGTGACTAGTTTCTAAGGCTGTTGTTCCTCTGCCATAATCGTAAAGAAAAAAGAAACTACACTGAGAACTAAACATACCTTTTCATGAAATGCTGTAATTAACCAGAGATCGACATCAATGCTAGTGCCTCGTTTCTCTGCACCAATGAACTGCAAAATATTGTCATGCTTCATTCCAGGTAAACTGTAAATTTCGTATTCATTCTGCCATGACTGTTTGTCCTTTAAACCAAAGAACATATCAAACCAAGTTAATACCATAATAATAAGAGGTACTTTCCCTGATAAAAGTTTCCTCCTACAATTTACTGAAAAGAAAGCATAGTGCATGCTAGTAACATTATGAGGCTGATTATTTAAAAATTACAAGCGTTTAGACTAATAACAATACTTGTGCTACAAACTACTGACCTAACATATACAAAATATGAAAACCTGTCTTCACATATATTACGTATTCACATATAGTGGAAAATTGTCAGAAAAAACTTGAATTTGTTGTAAACAAACATCAATTGCTGAAAACAACCTCAGCTATCACAGATATGAACCATGGAAACACAGAAAGCTGTAGATTAGGATTGGAGTCTACATGACACAAATCATTACAGTTGCTTCCGTCTTAAGAGCATGGTTCAATTTTTATATTTTATTAATCTACAAGGACCCCATAAAGAATTAGAAATAGGTTTTCCTTAATTAAAAATAATGAACAAAGTCTCAGATTTAATTTATGTTGTGCTGATGGCTGAAGCCAGCGTAAATACGTGCCATTTCTCCTAGAATAATAAGAACCTGCAGATGTATTTATTCAGCAAGTCAACACTTGGTTAATCATCAGAAGACACAAGCACATTTCTACACCTCAAGTAGCAGTGGGTGTTTTTAATTAATGTAAAATCTATCCTCATATCATCGTGTATGATCATCGTGTTCTTTAACTAGACTGGACCTTAAAGTTATGAGCACAATCTATTCTAAAACATGGCTTTCGGAGGGTACTTGCTGGGAAGTAAATATTATTTCACTTAATTGAGGCATATTTAATTGGAAAAATCACCTTATAGGTTTGCATTTCAGGACATTCCTTCCAAGTACAATTTAATTCAAAAAATATTAACAAATTCTTCTCAACTGATCAAGAGATGTGTGAGAGCTTCTTAAAACTGTTCATGCCAAATATGTATTTTTATGACTAGAAACATAATCTCACAGTTTGTTTCAATAATATGTTTGCTACCTTAAATTACTTATTTTAATTCAATAAAACTCTACGTGCGCATTTTTCAGCTCAAGACATTTCTATCTAGGTTTACAGTATCTATTGAAAATTCTCTAAAATAAAAGCCTCTTATTGTGACTAGAAAAACTGGTTTAACATTAGGATATTACAAGCAACACAGGACACTAAGAACTTCTGCTTACCTGAATAGGGAATATTTTGACTGCAACATACTCATTTAGTAGTTGAGCTTTCCATACACAACCAAATCTTCCCCTAGCTTTGATCTCTAGTAACTGCAATGGCTTCAAACCCATCAACGGTGAAGGTGGTGGAGGTCCAGGATCCTGAAATCAGGTTAAAACCATTAATTTTGCTATTGTACGTGCTATCTATGATGACAGCACTAGAAATACAGGCTTGTAAACTGAAAGAGACTTGGTGTCATATACCCAACCCCCTTGCAACAAATTCCCCCAAACAAACCAGAAACAAAACAGCAGCCCTTCTCCGCAGGAAAGAAAAATGAGATTGTAAAACATGCTCAGAATTAATGTGCAAGCGACAGCATAACAACAGTTACAGTATAAATCTGTCTAACCAGGTGTAAAAGCACAGCAGAAATTAAGGAATAAAGATAATCAAGCTTTACTTGTTACTTTTTTTAAGAGACAATTAAAATGAGCACCTTTGATACATTTAAGGTTGTTTTTTTTGTTCGTTTGTTTGACATACATGTGACCTGTTTAATCCTATAGTTCAATGGCCTGGTGAATTGACTCTATGCAGCCACAAAGTCCATTTCCATGTGACTTACACTGCAGCTCCTCAGCCATCAGCTGGGAAGCAGAAGATGTCTATGTTAGCAATTTGGCTGGGGGCAGCACTGCAGAGCTGAAGTGAGTCCCCTCGCTGTCCGCAGTTACCGTGTACTGGTTCAGTTCTCAAGTCATTGAGCTGATACCAGCACAGCTCTACTTCAAAAATGCCACTGCTTACTGGGGATGGAAGGTTGCAAACCAGTATGTAGGCAGGCCATGCCACCACAAGGTCTTCCAGTACGTAACTAACATTTTTTCATTCAGAAACCATTGAACCACATGCATAGTGCAGACTTTTGGTATGGGAAACCAAACATCGTCATCTCCAGTCAGCCCTCCAAGCCACGCGAATGGCCACGTGAGGAACCTCAGAACCAATGCCTCAACCTACTGATCCACTTCTACTGCTCCCAACTTTTGCTAATGTAGATAGCCAGGATCTTACTGCAATGGGAGTACTTGGCTGTACCCCAGAAACAGAACTGGAATTAAATTTAAGATATTATCTTGTCACACCTTACAGCATTTATACTTTACTGAGAGGCTAGCCCAACAATTCCTTTTCAAATATGACAACACAAGCTGGGAAGTACAATTGCAGTTGAGATAAAGCTTCCATACAGCTATCCATATAACCACCGATCTTACTACAGATTTGAACAATTTCCCTTTCTGGGAAAGAAAATGTGACAGCTTATTGAATATCTTGTATTTTATATTTTATACAGCTCTTACGTATTCTGTATCATGCACATCATCTGAATATGACAAGTAGATTCTCAACTTTATTGCCAAAGATGTGCTGCTTTCTGGGCTGTCCTTTTCTCTCCAATCTACCATGTTAGATTAGCTTGTACCTGTGTAAGCTTCTTCCCTGCCATGAAGAAATGCATCAGACCCATTTACGTATGCCTCTGCATCAAAGAGTATTACCCTATGCACAGAACCAGAGAAACATGATCTCTTCTGTCTGATCCCTGTTTTCTGCAGGAAAGGAAGTCAAGTTCTGGTGTGTAGCGGTCACTAAGCAGAATTACCAATACTGTCACCACGAGAAACGGTTCCACCTTCCTTCCACACCCCCCCAGAATAGCTTAAACCACAACTTGTTCCTCAGTCCAAATTACTACAGAGAACTGCAAATGTCAATGCCAGCGGTGATAGCATGCGGGCAGACTGCTAGACCACAGATGGGAAGACGGTGAACGGCTGCTTTCAGTGGCAGTGCAGGTCTATGGAGACCACAAAATTGTACCACAAGTCTCAATATTGCATGTGAAAGAAACAAACATACAAATGAAAGTTAGGCATTGCTTTTAAATTATATCCACACTGCAGAATACAACAACCCCCCCCCCAAAGTCTACTGTTCAAAAAAACCTCCAAAACATACACTTCTCTTTTTTCCCAGTCACAGCTGTAATGCTGTTTTAAAGAGAAAGACTGAAAAACACTGGAGTAGTTGCTTCTACAAAACAAATGAGAGTACTCAATAGTTAAGTATTTGAACACTTCAGTTAGCAATATAAAAGTCTTGTGCACGTTAAAGACATTTTCTGAAAATCTGTGGTTTTAAGTATAATATTGTGAGAATGGAGACAAGTGCTTCTGTATCCAACACAAGTTTTGAGTAGTTTAAGTGCAGGAATAAATAACCATTCTCTTGTTTCTTATTAAGCGACAAATACATCCTTCAAAAAGAAAAAGTTTCATAGAGAGACAGATTTATAGCCATTGAAAGAAATGTAACCTACCTGTAACCTACTTCCACAAATTAATAACTGCAAAAGAAAATATAATTTTTGAAATTCAAATTAGAGACACATTACAATACTATCCTCAAAAAAGTATGAAATCCTTTCACAAATATGACAGTGACAGATTCTTAAAAGTTGTTACATCAAAATTGCTGGGTTTAAACTGGACAAACAACAATACAGAAAATGAAGTTTAAGAGTTTTTTCCCTCCTGTGCTGCCTTTCATTCAATGCCAAAGCTCTTTATGAATATTCCAGGCACCAGGGAAATCACTATCCTCAATCTGTAATAGTTACAGTTACAAGTGAAACTAGAAACAAGATGCCCAAATTTACTCACAAAAGCCTACTGTAATTTGTAAAAAACCCTGCTGCTTTTAAGAATCCTGAGCACTGTGCAGCATGCGGGGATTTAACATCAGGCAATCAGATAACTTTTCAAAGTTTTGAACCTAGCGACTTGCCTAAATAAAGAGAACAATTTGTGGGAAGTAAACCCAAATCTCACTTTGCTTTACTGGCTAAAACAACTCCCTTTCCCTTCCATACCCTCCACCCAAAAAAATCTGTCGGTATTTAGAAGCACACTATGTGAATTTTTTCTTACTACTTAAAAATACTTCTCAAAGATTTGATGAAAAAAATTACAGCATCTATCACATGAGAGAAGGCAATAATTCCTCAGTAAAAAGTGGCCAGCGAAAACTGGTGCGTCTTACTTTCACGTTAGACTGCGATACTTTTCATATACCTGAATTTCAGACGTCCTAGAAAATCCTGGCATTTCAAAATATTTTCCCCACTACCTTATGTAGCAACCTCCTGTGGTTCCCTGCACATTTCCCTTTTGTGTTGAAACATTTTTATGAAGTCAAAACTTCCGGCGTTCTTATGAAGAAGCAACACACCCACACACACAAATCAAAACACATCTTATTTAAAATGGAAAGTATAATTGCCTTCTGTTAGCATAACTAAAAAGAATAGTTTTCCAGGTTTTTTCTGATTTTTTTTTCCCCTAAACAACTTTGTTAAAAATTGACTTTGTTAAAAATCACCAGGCGTTTACTCTAAAACTACAGGTACTATTTTTATACAGAAACATTCTTTGACAACATTTTCAACTTGCTCTACTTCTAAGCAAAAATGTTTAACGTGCCACAGGCATAATTATTTTTGTATGGCTTTTAAAAATCATCTCTGTGGCGCCAAGGATGATGATACAATGTGAGTAAAGATATAATGTGGATATATTAGTCTAACAGCTTGCTACAGCTGTCAGAAGATAAGGGCCCAATTTCCCATTACCGAGCTTTCCCTGTCCCTTCCCTTGGACTGATTCTGGTACTCGTTTGACCACACAGCAAGTCACAGCATTATGCTATATTGCCAGAAAGCTTTTATTTATTTATTTTAAAAATCAGGTTAGTTTTCTGATAGTTTAGCGAATTGAATCAGTTTGCAACAAGGTCCAGGTTAACGCAAAAAGCACAGCAAGGCAGAAGGAAGCAGGGCTCTCTTTTGGGAGCGGCGCGCCACTGGGCCGTGTAACTTCATCCCAAGTATTCCAACTTCTCCTAGACATGCTCTGTCCTAACCCTGGGGCAGTTAGCAAAGGCAGCAGGAACACTCCTGCTGCACAATGATCTGTCAGATAAAAAGCAGAAGCAGCTATGTCAGCAAAACATACTTGAACTGACTGGGTCATACAATGCGTAATACTCAGACAACTAAGCTTTACTCTTCCTACAGCTCAAAGGCATTGATCCATTAACACCGTAAGTTCAGGTTGTATGGCGATCTCTAAATCACGGCCATCTAGTTATGTTGCACACTGTAAAGTTTTCCAATCTCCAACAGGGCTTTTTGGTTCAGATTTTTATAGCTGGGAGCAGCAGTCAGCTGTCAGGTAGTGCACACTAGTCATACCAGAATAAGAACAGAGGGAAAAATATTCATTAAAGAATGGTAACTTCCAGAAATAGGTTTCCCTAAGCGTCTTCAAGAATGGTTCTCAAGTTCAGAGAGAAGCAGCTTAACAAACATGAAACTACAAATCCATTAAAAATATGACCAACTGAACAGATTGTTTAAAGACCTGCCCCACCACAGTCCAACAGCACTTGAGTTTATCTCCAGTCACATCTCTCATGTAGCAAGTGAATCAGGTGATTCATCATGTACAACAAAAGGAAAAAAAGACCAATTATCCAAACAGGGTTGTACATAGACGCATTTCTCTCTCCTGACTCCAAAATATGAACAAGTTCTCAAACTTCCAGTGCACATGCAAGTTTTCCTTGTTAAATGGTGCAATATTTCCCCTTGGTTACCTTTATTCTACAGCTTATATTGTGAATATGGTTGACAACTTCTCACTGAAAGAGTCTGATTGCTATCTTGGTTGTGTCCTCCCTTTCTAATTTGGGACTGGTTCATTTTCAAACAGATTATCTGTAAAGTTAAGATCCAAATACAGTAAAAGGAGTCAGAATTCTTAAATTTTGTAATTATTCTAAAATTAACTCTATGATTTGTATTAAACTAGATTTTTTTTTTAAATGGCGACCATTTTTCCTCTTTTTCACCCCACAAAATGCTCTATTTTAATTGTACATTGTAAACACATTCCCCAAAGTAATATAAACAAAGTAGTTACTTGTTGGCAGGATACTTTGGCTTCTTCACAAACTGAAATTATGTCATTTGAAGCAAAACAGTAATACAAGTAGAAGGAACTCTAATAACTCTTTACAGATGCAAGATATT